GTCCGTGCACTGATAGTACTAGGAAAACCTATGTAATTGAGTCAACTAGTCCAAGCTTACAAGAACTTCACGTAAGCTAATCAAATAACAATTGAAACAATAGTAGGGGTAACAAGCACTGCCCGTGTGACCGTTGGCACTAACAGTCAGGACTAGTCCTTGTGGTACGTGGGGCACTATAGTCAGTGCATATTCCTCACATTCTACATAAACAACTGCTTAATTGAAATGACACAACCTTACCTGATTATTTACAACAATTGGCCGTGTGGTTCCGTTCCGAATCTGCCCTTTCCCCCAACCAAAATTGACGCAAGCTGTGTAATGGGGGAAATGGGGAGGTGGCGGGATATTTTTCTTTGCTTCATTTTGTGGAGAAACAATGTCACATGTGTGCTTGCGAAGTAAGGCTGTGACGAAAATGATTGATTTGTCGTAAGGGCCAGCAATTCACTTTCAGTTGTTATACATTGTGTAACATTCCAGCCAGGTCACGCTCGTTTCGCGCACCCGCCACGTGCGTCCCCCCCCATGCACTTGGAATGTCTAACTGATATGTGAGCAATGTAACTTCTTATGGCGCTGTGTATAAATCATTTTATCTTTTAGGATTTGATAAAATGAATTATCATGATATCGTTGGTTGTTCAGCGATGTCTCCTATCAATGGTGTATATTCTTAAAATATTTATGGTTTGACTTTTGTGCTCACTAGTACAACTTCTTCACGGGCACTTTCCATGACGCCGTGATTCTGTTTTCCCTCGCCGTGAACGAAACTTTGGGAGAACATGGGAACTTATCCGACGGCTTGTCGCTGACTAGAAAGATGTGGAACAGGACTTTCGATGGTAATTGATTTACTAAATAGGCTCCAAATGCTGTTTTTATCAGTTAGTTGTTCAAAGTGTAAAGTGCTTTGTAAAACATGCCCAGCTTCTTTTAGACAATCACGCTGACTAGGTTATTTTATTTTGTTGTATAATGTGCTGAACATAATTATTTTATTGGGAATGAACATAAACGAACACGTTTGCATCATATGTGGTCCTTTTGCATTTATTGCCTGCTGTGTAGGGGTCCATGGTGTTTGCACACCCGAGGGGCAAATGGCACTCGAGGCAAAGCCGAAGGTGCCATTTGCCCTCGAGGGTAGTACAAAACCCATTGCTCATCACTGCAGGCAACAATTAGTTTGTTACACCATGGTCATGGATTTCACTAGAATGTTCTTTTATGTGTAATATATGCATATTTGAAATAAATTTAAAATAAATATTTGAAAAAATAAATTTGAGATAAATTATTTACACTTGGGCAAATTTAAACACATGAACAGTAGATTAGGTATTAAATTTCAAGGAAATTTATAGATTTTGATGTCCTTTGGTTTTTTTTGGGCGGGGGGAGAGAAATCCAGGATTTATAACGAACTTGTTTAACAGAGAAACCTGTGATTCCTGAAGCACTAGGAGTTGTGAGACTGGTTGAATCTAAAGACATTATTTACACAAAATTCCGTTGAAAAGTATTGACAAGTTTGAAGAGTGGTTGAGAAGAGACTTGGCATGGGCGTTATATATAAACAGCAATGGCAATCGCAGCAGAAGCAGTAATCAGAGCATACTCGTGTTACACGAGCATAGCTGGGTGCTCCGCCATGATCAGAGTGAAGAAAGTATCACAAGCGAACAGACACAGTGTTTCAATGTCCCCCATGCAAGCAGAGCACATCTCCTACAATGATTGGCGCGTATCCACTGTGGCTCTCCACCCTCTTACCCAAGATTACACAATACAGATATAGAGATACACCACACCACCATTATCCATCATTTTTGGGCCTGGCAACAACGCCTATGCACGCAACGAGTGAATGATACAAACGCGCCTGTAGCATATCACGTGATCAATTCGCGACCAATAGCGATTTACAATTTAGATCGTGGTGTAACAATATTGTTGAAGGACTTGGGAAGCACACTTCATTTTTCATAATGGGTGACGCTGGTGTTATGCATACAGTTGACAAATTTCTGTGTTATTTTAGCGCCAGTTGTTTTCCTTTACTAGTTTGGTTTGTTCACTTTTGTTTTAGATATTTCTGCGTTACATGTTACAAGTCTTGGTTTGTGCGTTGTTACTGATATCACCAATCCAGTGCTACAGAATTTTTGGAAATACTGACAGGTGCACTGTTTTCCAACAGGTATCGCTGGGAAAGTTACGGTGAATGAGAATGGTGATCGTGACTACGATTACTCACTTTGGGACATGACTGATACAGCTAATGGAAACTTCACGGTAATGTAGTTGACTTTTATAGCCAGCTGCCCGTAGACACAGTACAGGGCGTTGTGTTACCGGTTTACGGCGTAGGGACAAATTGAGTTTTCATGTAAACACCGGAACGACAGTGTTTAATTCAGAAACACAGACTAATATCATTGAAAATGTGCTGCTCATGAAGTTAACGACGATGACCCAATTCCTACGCACGGGGGTTTCTGTTTGCTCCTTTTTTCATTGTTTAAATAATATATGAGAGAAACTATTTCAAAGTTAAGAATGGATGAAACACAAACAAGAAAAATCAAGGCCTGCGGCTTAGGTGCGTATTTGCAAGCGCGGGGAACGGAAATAAAGAAAACAGTAAAGGCTCCCCATGTAAACACCATGAAGCAAAGGACAACAGCACACTACGCGTTGCGTCGTGCTTCAGGCGACGCGACACGATGCGACGTGGGACGTAATGGCAAGAATGCGACGACGCAATGCGACAGCACGACGCAAGGGAGCTGTCGTGCCGTCGCGTCGTGTAGTTGCGTCGGCTTGGAAGAGGCTGGAGAGAAGCAGAAATGTGTGTCGTAAATACTACACCATACTTTTCCAGTAGCGCGATTCTGATAATGCAGGGTACAGTGCACCAATACGTGTGCGAATGATCAGCTCCAACTCTGGTGATTTTCAATTCTCGGCTTGGTCACCCTGTGAGGCTTCATATCTGACACAAAAAAATTTTGTACGCTGTGGCTGTGGTCCTCAAAGTTGGTGAAAACGCTTTCTGCTGTGGGATATTACAAAATTACAGTTTGCTGTAGCAAGACATGTCTTTTTACCGAGCTTAGAATAGAACTACAGAGACAGAGACAGATAGCAGGGAAAGCCATGAACAGAACCTAGACTGAGAAATGGAAAACCACAAGTGGCCCGCAGTTCAGGTCGCGAGAATGGTCCATGGTACAACAAAGAGCAAAGTTAGCAATTAAGTTCGTTTAGAAAATAACCCTGCTAATTTCTTTTAATATTTCTTTCAATAATTACAGTCTCAAGTTGATTTCGGACTAAAAATACTGAAATAGGTGAGATAAGTTTGTAGAGTTTTCTAAAAATGTTCAGGAGATGTTGAGAGAAAACGAGCAAAAGTTAGAATACACGTACATTTGGTACACAATGTACACAGGTACCTCACTTTTTCATATGCCCTTTCATAGATTGTGGCAAATTTTTATGGGGCTACTGGGAAGTTGGAATTTGTGGATGACGTTGCTTGGCCCGGAGGGGCCACAGGGCCACCAGCGGACACTCCTCCCTGTGGGTTCGACAACGAAAATCCTTTATGTCAACCAGACGGTGGGTATATATAGCTATGCTCTTTTTTCAGATTTCGATTTTGCTCATGTTAAACTACAACGGCAGTTGTGAAGCCCGTACTGTTGGCGATAGCGTCGACACTGCTATGACTGACGTTAATTGCTCTGTGGTGTGATAGTATTGCACACATTGTTTTTCTAATAGACTATGGTTTTGCCACGTTTCAAATCAGTGTTAATTCTTGTCACAGTAGCCGGTTAGCTGTTGGGTTATCAGACAGATTCTTTTTATCAGAATACAGAAAACAGGGAAAAAAAAGATTTAAACAGAAAACAAAGCATTCCCCAAGCCACAAACACCCGTTCCTTTTATTTCTTTTGAAGATCCATCCGTGACCTTGGCGACCTTCATCGTCATATCCTGTTGTATCTTAATCACCAGCCTTGTCGTTATTCTTTTAGTGTACAGGTAAATATTGCCTTGTTTGAAACAAATGGGTAATTTTTTTAAATTTTACATATTCCAGTAATAATGCAAATGAGCCAGTTTGGAACAGCGCACGCTGAAAATGAAACGCGTCATAGGATTGCACTTAAAATACGCGCCCATTAAACAAGAAACAATGAAAAACCGGACAGGAATAGCGCCGCCTGGTGACTCTCAGGAAGAGGTTTGCATCGCTTTTTTCACATGATTATGGCCAGAACTTTGGTTTTCTTTTCAACCTTATAAGGGTGAGCCATGCGAGTTTGTTATTCGCACCTCCAAAATAGTAGCAAACCTATGCTCTCAGCTGTGCATGTTGCCGGCCGTCCACAGGCTGGAGGCTTTTGTGAACGAAAATATCGAGTTGGAAATCACAACTCCTAAATTCATAATCTAAACAAATATCTCTATGATCAGTCCTGATTGTGGCACCTCTCATTGTAAAAACCCGATCAATGGATCACAACATGTTAATAAGCTCGCACGTGGAAGTTTGGCCATTGTGGAATAAACCCATTGGTCAATCGGCACGTCACGTATGTTCACTCTCATGCCTTTGTGCACCACTTTGTTGAGAGTTCGCGCATGCGCACTCGATCACTTTATTGTGAATTTTGGGCAGACTCGATTAGACACTGTTTCGACACTTCTTTCTGCAGATGGAGACCATAAATCATTTAACAAATACAAACAAATAAAGCTCACGGAGATAACCTGATAACTAAAAAACTGATAAGACAACGTTAGACCTCCGTGTGATATGAACCCAGTTGTACAAAGCTTGAGCAAAATTCTGAAAAAGTGATTTAAACAATAAACTCTACCAAAATTTGAAAACAAACAATTCGCAAACATAGTGTAAACATAACATGGTTACCTTTTTCAAACCCTTTTCAATTATCAAGATTTGCAGCATGTGTGGAAGAACAATTCAAAATTTCGATTTTAAAATACCCTTTTTTACGTTCGGAAATGTAACGTTCACAGACATCTTTCACCCCATTTTCTCAGAAATGTTTAACAAGAAACACATCACAAGATGAAAACTGAAGCCTGATCATATCTCTGGTATAAATTCAGCAAACATTTACACAAATTTACAACAAGATCTCTGGTATAACCGTTTGGTGGTTGGCGTCGTCATTTTAAGAAGTAGGCCTAACAATTTTAGCGCATGCGGACAAACTAAATGGAAAGGGTGCATAATGGAGATCAATAGGGGTGTACATACATGACGCGCGCTCGAGTCGGCCCATTAAGCATTGTCGCACTCTGGCCTCGCCGGCTGTTTATTTGTGCGGCTGTCCTTTCCACAGACCCTTTCACTAATAAATTCTTATTTATGTGCGCATGGCGTAAATGCCATGTGAAGGCAAAAAGCTTGAGGGCCTGTTGAAAATATACAGGGGCACAAATTTCAACATTTTCTCTCAGCTTCTGCCCTTTTTTATTTTCATCTTCAGAAAACCCTCTAAAATCAATATAGCTATTTCTTTCTGGTGGGGAGGAATTTTTGGAGAGCAAAATAAACACTTAAAAGCTTTCATTCGTTTGATCTGCACGACGGTGAAAGAAATCAGTAGGGTTGTGTTCCGTGAGAGCTATAAAACAAATTGTTCACCATACGTTGTGGTACCATCCACCATTCTTGGTCGATGACGTACGTGGCGAAACAAACCTAAACCAGTCTGAAGCCAGCCCTCAATTTACTCTGCGTTCATTCCGCGATTCAACTTAGTACGAGTAGTGCATAGTACCCTGAAGTACATAACTATTTAATTGGACATGGTCGGAAAGGAGCCTTGTTAATTTCTTTCGACCTCGTGCACTTGGGAAGAAAGCAAAGACGGTTTTTTTTTTCATTTAGTGCAGTGTAAAATCCCTTCAGACCAGAAAGTAATATCTATAATAATTTCATAGGGTCTTCCGAAGTCATAAGTAAAAAAAATGAGTGCAGAAGCTTAGAGAAAATGACGTTGAAATTTGTGCTCCTGTATATTTTTCAATAGGCCGCTCAAGTTTTTGCCGCCATTTATACGCATGCGCACGTAAATTAGAATTTATGAGGGGAAGGGTTTATTCCTGTAACGTCCTCCGGTAGGGAAACTTTATTTCGCCTCTCAGTGCTCGTTTGCTGATTGGTTCGCCAGTTAACTACGTCAACTTAATAGGAATTTGTGTTTCTGTCTGCGCGTACTGTAAAACCTCTGCGTGCAATAATTCCAAAGTTGTCTGATTAGCTCAAACTATAAATCGGTAAGACAAGGGTAGGCGCAAAACCTGTGTCCAGTTTCCCTCCACGCCCCCTCCCTTTCCGGTTGTGATTGGTGAGAGAGCGTGTGAGGGTGTTCTCCTGGTGGTGTGCTGCGGGTCTGGCGGTAGACTTGCCGCAGAGGTTAGACCGCTCACCGATGCTGGTCGAGACCGACCCGGGCAGTCCTCAGGGACAATCCGCTGCAATACGAAAATGACGCCGATTGGCTATAGTCAGTCAAATCATACAAGTAAAAGCATAGTAAACTATGCTGCGTGTCAAGTCCATAGACTGCAATCCATGCACTTCAATTTTTGAGTTACAAACTAGTAGGTATTGCAATTATGCAAGGCATGGCTGGAACCAGGACCACGACCCACTGATCTCTATTTCTTTTACCAATAATGATGGATAACAACGGTGCAATATGGAGAACGAGGATGGCCATATGCTAACTCGCGCAATGAAAATCTCAGTGGAGCTATTGTAACGTTAGGAGTTTTTTCTCTAATTAATGACCTTGTCATGTTCCAATAACAAAATGGCTCGCTGTACTTGAGTGCAAAGTAGCCAAATATATTTTATTTAAACATTTTAATGTCAAATCTTAAGATTTGCATGGTGGAGGAAGCAATATTTTGGGCAGTATGCTCCAGTTGAGTTGCGTTGGGTTCTTCAGTTCTTTTCATTACCTCATTTACAACAGAGACCCTAACTTCCCACAATGATCTACCCGTATCCCATGCTCCTAAGCACAACCAATCCCCCATGTGTGTTCACCCAACACCACAGAAAGTTGAAGCGGAATGCACAAATCCAAAGCAGGACGTGGCAAATCAAATGGGACGAGCTGGCACAATGCAATTACGGACAAGGACAGGGGCATCCTCGAAGTTCCTCGTTTTCTTTGGTAAGTCCTTCAACCCAACTGGAAATTGCATTCATTTCTTGTGTTTAAATAGCTGTGTCCTCCTGATTGATTCCTCTTTAGCACTTCTCCTAGGTTGCATCATATATTTAATGGCGCGTTTCTTGGCTACAGATGGTGCTTTAGGTTTAAGGGCTTCTGACAAGCTCCCTTGGACAAGGATAATAAGGCCGTTTCACAAAAGTGCGTCACCAAGAGTTTGCTAACGCGTTGACCAATCAAAATGCACGAAATTTGTCGACAAATGTCGTTATAATTGGCCAACGTGTTGTTAACTCTTGGTGGCGCACTATTGTGAGTTGCCCGTATTGACAAATGGAAGGGCCATCAACCTAGGGCTGTATAATTCAGTTGATAGAACACCGATACAGTGTTCCGGAGGTCTCAGGTGGAAAACCCGCTCCAGTCAATTTTTTGTTTCTAATTAATTAAATAATTCAAATAATTCTGAGGAGATAATTGGAATGGTGATTACTGGAGATTGGCATGACGAAAACTCAATTTCCTACAAAAAAGGATGTTGGCTATACTACAGCACATGATTTTACATGAATAAGGTTGAGTAAATCTCTTTTACGTTGTCGTGCACCATTAGTGGTGTAACTTGCGGAATTAGTAAAAATTCCATGTTAATGATATACACGGATGGCTGTGCCCCCCTGGGTGCCCCTCCCCATGTCAAGCCTGTAAATAATCGCCGTCGAGTTTACGTAACTATGCAGCTGCATCTTATTTTCTTGTGGTGCCCCCCTTGAAAAAATGAGTGCACCCCGGGTGTCTCTCTGGACATTTAACCCTAGTTACGCCACTGTGCACCATAAGGGAACATCGATTTGTGAAATCAGTTTTACGAGCATTACATCAGTACTTACATCTTTTAGATCTATTGCCCTTCTCAAAACGTGTATATCATTAAATAGAATTTAAATATTTTCTGAAAGCGTACGTTGCAACCACTCTCCCCTGTTCAGTGCATGGCTTGTATGCTCGATGATGAGATAATGAACAAAGTGAATGGCTCTAACGCAGCATTTACACCTTCTTTTTTACTAATTTCTCAAATGCACAGCACTATTAACATGGTAAATTAACACACAGGAAAACTTCATGGATTCATGGATGGTGAACTGTAGTCCGAACATCGATAACAGTTGTTGTAGTTAAGGTTTTTTGTTCCGTAGGGAAGTGCCTCTGTGAAAACTGAAGAACTGAAGCAGAGATTCACAAGGACGTTATGTTATCAGGTAAGGTTGTGGCAGAGCTGTATTGACTTAAGTCGATGACTAGAATCTGACTGGAGTCCCAAATTAGCTACTCGATTAG